CCTGGCACAAACCCTTGCATTAGAAACATTATGTAGACACCGTTCCAGTGTGTTTGTTTAGTTCATTGGTAACGATGCAACAGTTTCCTGGTGCAGTATTACTGAGCGATGATGGATATGACTTAGAACCGTCACTTATGACACCATGAAACCCCAATGACACATCTGAGAGAGCCTACAACAGATTGTTTGAGAGAGAAAGTTGCAGACGCAACCTGAGCTTACACTAATTTCCATGTGTTTTGGCGGATTTGTCAATCACGCCACGCGCAAATGCTCATTTTATTTGAGCAAATCCTCTTGAGTATAAACATATCATTATTCATGCAAATTGGAGTAGATGCTCATGCTCTGACCTTTTACTCTAAGCTTTTGCTTGGAGCGTTTGCTCATGCTCGTGAGTATTTGCTTCCTTTTTATTCATACGGCACATTAAGAGTATTGCGTGCCATTGCAAATATGAAAGATGATGAATTTAAGCAGTTCGACATAAAAACTGCCTTCTTATATGGCGAACTCGAAGCAAATATAGGTACATACCCGGATTGGACTGCAAAGAAGGTTTTGTTTTCAAGATAGAAAAGTCATTGTATGGCTTGAAACAAAGCTCAAGATGTTGGAACAAGAAATTCAGCACCTTTCTACTAAACCTTGGTTTTGAAGCTTCGATAACTGACAAATGTACAGGGTACCTCAAAAATATGGAAGTCCTGCTTGTGATATACGTAGATGATGGTTTGATATTCTCATCTCAAGCATCAGCGATTGATGTAGTTTTAGATGAATTAAATAATTGTTTTGAGATTAAAATCGCACAAGAAGCAAATTATTTCGTGGGTATTAAACTAAAAAGGGACTTAAAACATGGCAAGATGTTCTTAAAGCAGTCAGGTTATAGAAATAAGATGATTTGCAATGGGAAGTGCCAACCCTGTTCACTGGGGCCAGAGGATCAGCATACAAACTGGTAGATGGTGAAGTTCCATACAGGCAAGCAGTGGGCTCTTTGATGTTTCTAGCCACTGTTACAAAGCCAGATAGTTCCCATGCGGTGAGAGTGTCAAGCAGATTCCCAAATTGTCCAAACTCAGTCCATTGGAATGCAGTCAAGCGAATAATTAAATATATTATAGGAACACAAAATCATGACGTTGAGTTTGACAAAAAGGGAAACACAAACCTTTGTGGTTTTACTGACTCTGACTATGATAGTAATACTCAAATAAGACGTTCAACAAGTGGCTATTTTTACAAGTTATGCAATGGACCCATAACATGGCCGAGCAAGAGATAGCCAACAGTTACACTGTCAACAAATGAGGCTGGATAGGTCGCTGCTTCACAAGCCATCTGGTTGCAAAAGTTGTTATTCGACATTCACGAAGAAGTCATCAAACCAACAGGTCCTCTAATTTAATCCTGGAAGATGACAGTCATGATGAAATATCACCTTCAGTGGGAGATACGAGTGAAAACAGTAACTTCAATGAACCAAGTGAAGTGTTTTCAGATGGCTCAGATGCATATAACCCACTAGAAGATTACCCTGATGGTGATGCTTCATCATGTTCTCAAGATTTATTTGTTGAAACTGTAGATTAACAAGAAACGCCAAGGAGATCAAGCAGACAAAGAGAGAAAAAACAAAAACTTTGAAGACCATGTAACGTATGCATGCTCTGCCAAACTGAGGCCAAAATATAGGTTGTTCCATTAAGTGTGTTTGATGCACTGTCAAAATCAGACAGTAACAAATGGAAACAGGCAATTGAAGCGGAGCATCCTTTGAAGAAAATGACGCCTGGGAAGTGATGGAAGAACCAAAAAGTGCTACAATAGTGAGTGCAAATGGGTATTCAGAAAAAAGTCTGATAATGAGAATAATGTGCGGTATAAGGCTCGCTTGGTAGCTAAAGACTATACTCAAAGACCTGGAGTAGACTATGATGAAACCTTTTCACCTGTGGTGAGATATTCAACTCTAAGATTTTTAATTGCACTGTCTGCTCATTTAAATCTCAGAACAAACCATCTTGACGTAACAACTGCTTTCTTGAATGGCACTTTAACTGAGACACTTTTCATGACACAACCCGAAGGTTTCGAGAGTTCTCAAGTTGAAAAGAGCTATTTATGGTTTGAAGCAGGCTTCAAGGGTTTGGTATGTGAAAGTGGAAGATGTTTTAACCAAATTAAATTATAAAAAATCAAAATATGACCCATGTGTTTATTTAAAGTATGAAGGTAATTTTGAAACTATGATAGCTCTATATTATGTTGACGAGTTTTCTCATATTTTCTAATTCTATTGCTGAAACCAATTTTCTAATTCCTTAATATCCTGGGAATGTAAAAACCAGGGATCAGTGGCTGTCTAGAGTGCCGAGGCTGATTATGTTGCTGTATCAGAGGCCTCTAGGGAAGCCATTTATCTTAATAATGTGTTTGGGGAGTTTGTGGGAAATACTGAACATCTTCAATGACAATCAAGGGATTGAGTCCTTGAGAGGTTGGTCCGTATACCATCTTAGTAGTCTGAAAGAAGGCCCTGTTGCTTTTGAGTTTCCTATCATAGATTTTTATAAACTATCATTTGACACCAACTTTGAATTTAATCCATGATTGAAAATTCCAGTTAAATTTAATCTCCGGTTAAGTTCAAAGTTGGTGTCAAATGATAGTTTATGAAAATCTAAGATAGGAATGTAAAATCGGTTTTCCTCTAAAAAAAAAAACCGTTTAGGTCTTACAGCCTGTCAAGCTGGAAAAAGTCAATTTTCAACTGTCAATATTTTCAAAACAGTTGAACTTGAACTTAAGAACATCTGCTCAGAATTTGATGTAGAATCCAAATATGCACTCATATACAGGGTGTTCTATTTAAAATAGCGATATTGCCACTGGTTTAGAGTAGAAGCGGCAACACCGCATAAACAAAAATATTTTTAAAGTGTAGATTATGGTCGTTTATCCTGGTTGTCAAATTTTCAAAATGATCCGCTTTCTAGTTTTCCATTAACGTCTAATACGCCATCCACCGTGGGACACCAGGTATATCAAATAAGACGAAGAGCGAATTCTGGTCGTGGCGCCTTCTAAGACTAGATTTCAGCACTAGACAACATTTTTGCTGCAAAAGTACTGACCAATAGGCAGACCAAAAATCAGTTTGTTGGGAAAACCCAAAATAGGGATAACAGGTTTTCTTCTATTATAACACTGATGTGAAAATTGTGAGTTAATTTTTTTCGCTTTTCCAACCACAGGCGTGTTTCGATCTATCAGATTTCATCAGTATGGCTAGGAAAGCAAAGAAACCTAATTCCTGTAGGCAAAGTAGAAGTGAACTAGGATTCACCCCCGAACACCATTTTTGCTGTAAAAGTACTGATCATCTAATAGGCCGACCAAAAATCAGTTTGTTGGGAGGCACTAAACTTGGGTTGGGTTTCTTTGCTTTTCTAGCCACACAGATGAGATCTGATAGATCGAAACGCGTCTGTGGATGGAAAAGTGAGGAAAATTAACACAAAATTTTTATATCAAATAAGCTATTTACTTCATATCAATTATGAGATAACCTTACATAACCTAATATTGAACATCTAACGAACAAAATCCAAGTAAAACAAATCATAATCATTCTCAAGAAATCAATTTTATTAACAAACATCAAAACATCGAGTAAAGAACTGAATAACACGAATATCCTCCCCCATTCCATCAATTCCCAACAACAATCAAACTAAAAACCCCATACAAACTCGAATTGGTTTGTCAGAAAGCCTAAAAGTGGAACACGCCGACAGTGACCCAAATAAAAATGCCAACAGAATAATATTTATGCACTCACGAATTCTTTTTTTCCCCCCTAGAGAGAGCACAAATCAATGCACCTGCTGAAAGTTGTGAGGCACGTATCGGGGTTACTACCCTTGAAGGGCTACGGAGCATGCTCTTTAAATTTTAGCCTAATTGTAATAATCATAATGGGAATTTTTTTCTATACTTGCCATAATAGATTCTTTTCAAAAGTTTCAGAGACTGGTATGGCAAAAAATACGAATGCATTTACCTTGGCTCTGTGCCAACGTCTCAAGTTCAACGAATTATGAAAATAGCAGGGAACACTTTTATATTTCCATAAAAGTTTTGCATTACATAAAGGGGGCAGTTATTAAATTTTGAATTTGAAAAAAAAAATCCATGTTTGAAGATGTTTCAAGCTTAATCCTGTTAAATTATCTAAGACGGAATTCAAATTATTCAAGGAATTTGTAACTAAATTTAACCGGCTCGAGATTTTTGGCCAAGGAATTCGGGCTAGATTTTATGGGAACTAATTAAATTGGGTAATCTATTTCAGATTTATCTTACATGTTGTTCTGAGAAATTACTCAATTTGGCTTTGACTCTGTAATAGATATATTATCTATAACTGGAAAAGTTGATTCTTGGGAAAATGAAATAAAAATATTACTTACATTACTGTACGCATGTCGAAATTATTATTATAATAGATTTTAACTGTTATGTACTTTAAACTCGCAACATGCTTTTTGTCCAATAAAACTATTTCATTCCTTTTTTACATCTTTTAAATTTAACTTTTACGATTTTATTCACCCTAGCAATTTATTTATATTTCCTTTTTGTTCGAGAGAAGTACAGCTTCACTACTAGAACGCTGAACAGTAAATAGGAAAATTTCAAGCTATAAAAACGTTTTATAATCGGTTTAAAACCCGTGAAAAATCGTTAAATCGCACCAAAAAGGAGAAAAATGACACTTGGAATCTGAGAAACATAAATAATTCGCTCTTGTACCAATGTGAATTTTAGTACTCTTGCACACGAGGACCATTCCAACATAAATCACTGCAATAAATTAAATGACTCGATAAATTTTAAAAACCAACTCCGGATTACAGCTATATATTAGCATAGTCAAAGCGAAAGGAGAATTATGCTCTTTACACACAAAAAAAACTTGTTTTTCAAAGGTATAATCGTGCTTTATACAAAACAAGTATATTAAAAAGAAAATGTGTGTCATACTGCAAGATATAATGTGAGAAATTGTGTGATTATAATAAATTTTAATATTTTCTTCAGCATTTTTCTTGCTCTATACAATCTACAGCCTTCAATCTCCATTCTTCGTAGAAGTAGCTGACAAAAACGTAACAGCAGACTTCTTCTTGGGAATACTAACGTTCACCTTCTCCTTGACAGTACACACCTGATCGTCGCCTGCCAGTTTCCGTTTTCCTTGCAACTGAATTCTCATGATTTGCACTTGCCTGGCAGTAATAGCCGGAGAGTAATTCGTAGAGAATAATTTTGGCGGTTTCAAGTGGTACCAAACGGTTTCGGTTAGGGCTTTGCTGTCTTCCGATAAGGTTTTATCGCACTGAGTGGATTCGACGTACACAAACGATTTGTCGTCTTCGTCCTCTGGTTCACAGTGGCAACCTCTTTCGAGTTCTGCCATGTCCAAACATGTTCGGGCCATTTTTAGTAAATATTCACTGGAGATTTTCAAATTTTGAATGTTATGACAGTGTCACTTTGTTTGAAATACGATTGTTGATTTTGTTTGAAAATTGTGGCAACATTTTAAATTCAGTTCCTTTTTTTTTGGATTCTTCAACTATGTTATTCTAATGAGTCCTTTTGTTATTCAATAGCCTCTTTTTGTCACCGAAGTATTTTTTCAACTTGCAATTTCTTTCGCTACTTTCTGTAATAATTTAGTCAAGGTATTGTTGGTTTTATAAATATTGCTGTTTGTAGATGTCTATGAAAAGTATTTCGTTCATAATTTACAAGTTACAAAGTTTTAAACAAGAATATTAGGCCAGCAGGCAAGTGATTGATAAAGGGGGTAGCTGCAAAGTATTCCAAAGTTAATGATATTTTTGGCATGCTTTCTATTATAGAGAGAAAGCTGACATTTTCAGCGATTCTTATGCTATTAGATGACAACAATCCCTGAAAATTTCAGCTCATGTGAACTTACAGTTCTAGAAATAAAATTGTGTTAAGCAATTTGGGGTGATTTAACATCTTTAATTTGAGATTATGTAATCAGGGGATCTCTTGGGCAAACTTACTGGTAATCAGAAGAAATCAGGGGAAATCATGGATGTCGTAATTTCCCCTGCCTACCGCAATCTGGTGTAACAAGAACTGAGCTGCGGTTTACGCGGCAAGGTAAACTGCAAAGAAAATCTGGTGTTCAAATTAGGGGAAATTCGGGGAACTCATAGGGATTAAAGAAATTAGAAAAAATCATGGGAGCATCAAGGAAAATCTCAAGGAACAAAGGAGAAATCTTAAGAAAATCATGGGAAATCTTGAGGAAATCAGTCAATTTCTGGATCTAATCCATGCGCAGTTTTCTTACCTTTATAATTTGAGGTTAATTTATCAGGGTAATCAGAAGAAATCAGGGAAAACCATCCATGATTTCCCCTAAAACCTTTTCTCACTCCAGCAGTTCCAAAATTTTCCCCGTATTCATCAGAAGAAAATGAAAATGTGAAAGGGTTTTCGTAGATCTTTCTTGTTGTGGTTTTTTACTGGATCATGTCGAAATTCTAGCTCAACTATCTCCTAGTCTTTGTCTCTCCAATTAAAATGGTTCCGGAATATTCCTTTCAATGGTTTTTCAGAAAAACATCAAAACAAGAACTTTTTAGCTTGATTTTCAAGATTTGTTTCCTGTTGTGGTTGGACACAATTCGCAATTTCAGTTCAATTAAGCTAATTTTCCTCGTCTTATACACCAAAGGTTTGTAAACTTTACCTATGCCTGATATTTTCCCAAGAAAACATCAAATTGTGAGAAAAGTGCCTATATTTATTTTTAACGTTGATTTTCATTAGTTTTGAATTTATCTTAAGGTTTTTAGATCCTAATCCTCCTCTTCGTCATCAAATTTTTTCAAAATATTCATTCCAATGGTTTTCCAAAAAAACAGGGGTTAACTGCAGGTCAGCTTTTGTACAGAGGTTGCGGTTTCAAGGGAAATCGTGAATAATTTCCCATGATTTCTTCTGATTACTAGTAAATTTGTCATAGAATTCCCATCATAACATAACCTCAAATTATAAATATTTATGGAAACTGCGCATGCATTAGATCTAGAGATTGACTGATCTCACGATTTCCCATGATTTCTCAAAAATTTCCTCCGAGTTCCTTGGGATTTCCGTTGATCCTCTAATGATTTTCTCATGATTTCTCGTAATTGACTTAGGTTTCCTAGGATTTTCCCGTAAGTAAATGAGAGTTCCCTTGCGGTTCACCCTTCGCGTAAACCGCAGGTCAGTTTTTGTACACCAGATTGCGGTTTTTGGGGAAAAATGGATGATTTCTCATGATTTTCCATCATTATTTCTTCTCATTATTAGTAAGATTTCCCAAGAGTTCCCCTAATAACATAACATCAAATTAGAAATGTTTTTGAAAGCTGCGCATGCGTTAGATCTAAAGATTTTACCCCGATTTCCTTGAGATTTCAGTTGATTCTCTCATGATTTCCTTATGATTTCTCCTGATTGCTTTAGATTTCCTCGGATTTCCTTTTGATTTAACCCAATTTATAGGTGCATGAGAGTTCCCTTGTGGTTTACCCCTCGGCGTTAACCGTAGGTCGGGTTTTGTACACCAGATTGCGGTTTTAGGGGAAATCATGGAAGATTTCTTTGAGATTCACTTTGAGTTCCTTCAGATTTCCGTTGATTCTCTCATGATTTTCTTATGATTTCTCCCATTAACATAACCTCAAATTTGAAATAATTTTGAAAACTGCGCATACCTTAAATCTAGCGATTGACTAATCTCCTTACGATTTCCCATGATTTCCTTGAGATTTCCCGTGAGTTCCTCGAGATTTCCGTTGATTCTCTGATGATTTCCTTATAATTTCTTCTAATTGCCTTAGATTTCCTCGGATTTCCTTTTGATTTCCTCCAATTTGTAGGTACACGAGAATGAGAGTTCCCTTGCGGTTTACTCCTTGGGGTGAACCACAAGTCAGTTTTCGTACACCAAAATACGGTTTTAGGGGAAATTATGGATGATTTGATAAGTTAGATTTCCCAAGAGTTCCCCTGATAACATAACCTCAAAATGGAAATATTTTTAAAAACTGCGCATGCGTTCCTTTTGATTTTCCTCAATTTGTAGATACATGTGAGTTCCCTTACAGTTTACTTCCCAAAGTGAACCGCAAGTCAGTTTTCGTACACCAGAATACGGCTTTAGGGGAAATCGTGAATGATTTCCCATCATTTTCAATCCTGATTTCTTCTCATTACTAATAAGATTTTCCAAGAGTTCCCCTGATAACATAACCTATTTTTTCTTTTCTCTTGAAACTGCGTATGCGTTAGATCTAGAGATTGACTGATCTCCTTACGATTTCTCTTGTGTTTCTTGAGATTTCCGTTGATTCTCTTGTAACTTTTCCTGATTGCCTTAGATTTCCTTTTGATTTTCCCCAATTTGTAAGTACATGAGAGTTTCGTTGCGGTTTATCCCAATTTGTAGGTACATGAGAGTTCCCTTGCGGTTTATCCCTCGGGGTAAACCGCAGGTCAATTTTTGTACACCAGATTGCGGTTCTAGGGGAAATCATGGATGATTTCGCGTGATTTTTCGTAATGATTTCTTCTCATCACTAGTGAGATTTCCCAAGAGTTTCCCTGATAACATAACCTCATTTTTTTTTCTTGAAGACTGCGCATGGGTTAGATCTAGAGATTGACTGATCCCCCTATGATTTCCCATGGTTTCCTTGAGATTTCCGTTGATTTTCTCCTGATTTCCTGATAATTTCTCCTCATTTCTTCGGATTTACTTTTGATTCCCCCCAATTTGTTTCCTTGTGGACTGCGGTTTACCCCTCGGGGTAAACCGCAGGTCAGTTTTTGTACACATATTGCGATTTTAGGGGAAATCATGGAAAATTTTTCATGATTTCTTGAGGATTTCCCCTCAGTTCCTTAAGATTTCCTTATGATTTGTTCTGATTTCCTTATGATATATCCTGATTACCTTAGATTTCCTCGGATTTCTTTAATTTGTCAACCAGATTTCCCTTGCGGTTTACTCCTTGAGAAAAACATTGAAATATAGGAGCAGGTCAGTTTTTGTACACCAGATTGCGGTTTTTGGGGAAAAAATGGATGATTTCCCATGATTTTCCATCATGATTTCTTCTCATTATCAGTAAGATTTCCCAAGAGTTTCCCTAATAACATAACATCAAATTAGAAATATTTCTGAAAGCTGCGTATGCGTTAGATCTAAAGATAGACTGACCTCCTTACGATTTCCCATGATTTCCTCAGGATTTACCCCGAGTTCCTTGAGATTTCCGTTGATTCTCTCATGATTTCCTTATGATTTCTCCTGATTGCTTTAGATTTCCTCGGATTTCCTTTTGATTTAACCTAATTTATAGGTACATGAGAGTTCTCTTGGCAGGTTTTGTATACCAGATTGCGGTTTTAGGGGAAATCATGGAAGATTTCTCATGATTTCTTTAGGATTTCCTTTGAGTTCCTTCAGATTTCCGTTGTTTCTCTCATAATTTCCTTATGATTTCTCCCATTTACCTTAGAATTCCTCGGACTTCCTTTGGATTTCCCCCAATTTATAAATATATATGAGTTCCCAGTTTTTGTATACCAGATTGCGGTTTTAGGGAAAAACATGGATAAGTTTCTATGATTTTCCATTATGACTTCTTTTTACTAGTAGGATTTCCCAAGAGTTCCCCTGATAACACTACCGACCATCCACTTTTTCTAGATACTAAAGAGCTATTCTCGATAGGCACAGGAGCTGTTCCTCCTGAAGTTGTGAACTGCCACTTAGCTCAAACTATTAGTATCACCTGTATGAAGACCTAATTGGAAAAAATGAATTTTCAAGACATGAAATTGAAGCGGAAAGGTAAGGTTGTTTCTCTAGCAACTGTTTGCTGCTGTGTCAAAATTAAAGACAAAAAGTTCACAATGGTCCCTCTCACTCTCTTTCAACGGATTTGCATAATAAAACAATCAGGTAATGACCTTAGAAACCAGTTGAAATACGAGCTAGCCCCCTTCCTGATGTCTCTCTTTACAGAGGGAGATATGCACAAGGGCAAAAAGTCAATGTTGTATGCGGCATCCACTGCTATACAAGAACCAGTAGACTTCGGCAGCAGCAAATGCGCAGTTATTGATGGTGGGTAGCTGCTACATAAGGTTGCGTGGTGCAAATTAAGAGATACTACATTTGAATTGGTGTGCCAGAATTAGAAACATTTGTTCCTACCATTTCACAAGAAAAAATTCTCTCCAACGATACCAACAAGAAAAACTTCATCACAATGCTGATTACTGAAATGGAAACCAAAATAATTCAGGTGAAGCAGGCAACAGAAGATGCCTATGTCATGATAGTGGAAACTGCTACATCAAAATCTACCGACTTTGATAGTGTCATCATAACAGGAAAAGAAATCGATCTTGTAGTTTTACTG